AGTGTGATACGGGCTGCCCAATAATGACACCGTTGCCAAACACAACTGACAAGACACATGGAGAGTGGAAGAAGGAACGCAGAAGACAGGGAAAGGGAGGAAGGCTGGGAGGGGGTGGAGAGGGGGACATGCAGCAGAGGGGAGAGGGTGTGATGTGACAGCCTAGTAGTGCCAACGGCTGCCACAGAAAGGCCAGCAGCAGCAGCAGAGAGGTGCTGTCTCGCATGGAGAGAGACCGGGAGGCATGCAGAGACTGGGAGTGCAACGGTATGCGAATTCACCCTCAACTATTCTGTGTACGATCTCCGGTGCAGTGTGAGATTTCCTCTGTTTGATATGCCTCGCGAGAAGAACGATTACAATGAGAAACGGTGGAGCACAAGTTCCACCTGCATTGTTCCCTCAGTGTCCATAGGTCAGCTGTACCGTGTGGACTAGGGGGGTTAGCCTCATTTACTAAGGTAATGTAGCAAGAGTTAGTTAGTTTGAGAAGATGTGACGCTTTTCATCAAGCAGAAGGAAGGTAGCAGCGAGACGACGCACCTTAGCAGCTGTGCAGTATCTAAAAGCCTGGTTTACAATTTCATTTAGCTTTTATCCAAAGCGATGTACATCTGAGAGTAGATCAACAGCAACAGAGCTGCCATGCAACTTGGGAGCAACTTCAGGTTCAGTGTCTAGCCCAAGGATACTTCGACTGTGGACGGGCAGGGGATCGAACCACCATAGAGGACAACCCGCTCTCCCACCTGAGCTACAGCCGCCCATGAAGATATGGAAAAGTGTCAGTGGTCAGCATCACTGCTGCCAAAGAGAAACTGGAAAATGACGTGCACGATGCATGAAACACGAGCACAGCGTCGTCACTGTAGCGGACAGCTGGACTGTTGCTGGAATGTTAGCAAGCTTTGTGGTGAAATGCAGAACTTAACTTTAGCCCTGTTTTCTTAACAATACATTTTCTGTTGGTACAAACAGTAAGTGTATAAATATAGGTCAAGAAAAATGGTTTCAGTGACATGCATATGTAATGATATGTTAATTACTCATGGCTTAGTATTGCTTATGCTAATTAGCCATGTGGACTTAATGCGATTTTCTGCGTTTCGGTTACGTGTGTTGTATCTGAAACGTACTGAGCAAAAATTAAAGGAACATACGATAATGTAAATTTTGCGTACCACTGCCCTCCAAAAACTTGGGCCACACTAATGCAAAGATTGCTAAACTCGAGAGCACATCTGTCCGTCCTGGTACACTGTTGACACTGAACTAGCATTTCAAACTCCCTAAAACTGAACTTTTCAAAATTTCTCTGGCGTTATTACATCTGTAGACTGTGGTCACGCATTGTTGGTGCAAATGACAAACTGTAGAAGAATTAAAGGAAATGAAAAAGAGATCAAGACTGGAAATGACACACAACACAGGTCCCCAGCTAACCTAAAGACATTGACCTTATTTTAAAAAGTTAATATGGCCGATTACGCAATGCAAGTGTTGTATTTATGTTTTCCTCTCAAAGGTTTATGGTAAGAATAAGAATTATACGGCAGGAATAAACGTTCATCCTCGTGCTCTGAGTATTTACCTTTTTTTGCTCACTGTTAGACAACAAAACATAAAAACGGCATACATGAGAACAATTAGAATGTGAGTTTGGATGCATTACAACCCAGAACAGATGTTAATTCACCTGAGAATACATGACTGGACCGTCTTTCTCACCAGTGACAAAATGTTGGCTGCACAATTCTGTGGTTTACCGGCCAACAGGAAGAAGAAACTTTTTTTTTTTTCCACTTTTCCTACTTTTCAAGCTTTACACAACGGACAAAAACAAACTGAAATGTGGACACTCGCCATTTTCACATGCAAACAATGTTTACAAAATCTGTTGAATTAGCTTAGATGTAGTCCAAGAGAGACAGAGAGGAAGACGAGAAGAGACGGAGACAGCAACTGGCAGGTGGGGAGGGGGACTCACACCCTCAGCAGTCACCAGCCCCCTTGAGCAGGCACCATGCAATATTCATCTCCAGCCAGTGAGCCAGGCAGGCAGTCAAACCGGCAGGATTCACCCCAAAGGTGCTTCTCATTCTTCTCCTCTGAATCGGCACCACAACCACACCGCCTTGTCTCAGCGCTTACAGACAGATCTGTGTCTGTCAAACTCTGCAGTGACGATCAAAATGTGATCTGACGGGGCCTCCTCACTAACCCTCCCACTCACACAAGAGCAAATGCGCCATTAAAAATGCACATCTTACCAGCTCATCTCGTTTAACTTATGCATATGCATCATACCTCCGGGACCAAGAGAAATTATATCGCAAGCGATACAGAATATCCTTCATCACATATACAATTCAGATTTCTTCAGGAGAAGGCTGGTGTTTTTTTTCCCCCGTGCTGCAGAGAAGACTGAACCTTAGGAAAGTCTGAAACAGATTCAGGACTTGTTGAAAGACACCCATCTGGATGCTGGTTAGACAGTCATCTGCATAATCTAACTGAGTCTCTCTTTCTCTTCTCTGTCTCTCTGTCTCCCATTAAATGTGAAATCAGCTCAAACATGCTCTGTGAGAGTGAAAAAACATGATGCAACACAGAAAGTTCACTGTGCTACCAATAAACTAAGCACAAAAAGTGAGGCTGGAATTAACACTGATGCAAAATGCTAGAAATAGATTGAAAAACAGAGAGAGAAAGGGTTCATTAAGCCTCAACAATAACACATAATCAACTGCTGGGAGATCAGTGGAAGATCTACTGCCTGTGTGTGTATGTGTGGGGGAGTGCTGCCTAAGTCAAATTAATTATTAGAGCTTTTATCCGACTTTCTTCTGTGTGCAACCCAATTATCCTTAATTTTGCAATTACAAACCTTAGAATAAATTAACCCCCTTGGCAATTCCAGTGTTAATGTTGCCGTGCCCTTGCATACACATGAAAAACAACGAGTACGGCCTATTTTTAGTATTGTTTCTTCCTCAACAAGAATCCGTGCTCACTCTGGGGCATATGGATGATCCTCTTTGTTTAAAGTCTATTCAATACTTATGGAGGCAAAAACATCCTTCTGCAAAGAAATCAATGTGCCTGATGTTGGAGGGCGGTATTAAAATCCAACAATGACCAGATCTGCACAGTGCAAACTTGAGTTGTATTGAACCAAAAAAAAAAAAAAAAAAAGGCATGCTGGGAGGCCAGGCTCTGCCAGCCTCCAGAGCTCTGATCAATAGTAACAACTCAACATTCATCCACTGCCGTCCATCTTGTACACAGGCTACAGCGGGCTGAAGGATGATTGGACTGAAAGGCACATCATGATTGACACGGAGAGAAAAAGGGTAACATAGAATATACATGGTTCAAAATGCGTTCAAGGCAGGATGCTATACTTTAAATAAATGGATGATGGAATGTGTCATCATAGATTATCTCAGTGTTCTCTACAGCAAAACAATCTGAGCTGCCACGATCGTTGAATCTAACAAAACCACAGACGATATGATGAGGCCGGTGTGCACCTTGAAACAAATGATCCATCTTTTCAATCATAAGTACCATAAAAGATGCTTTCTAGAAACTGAACTAAGAAATGGTTATAGATTAACTCATATACTTACTTCATCCTGTGACTCTAACACTGCATATGGCAGACCTGTAACATCGGCCACAATGACCTAAATAAAAACGCTAAAGACTCAACAGTGAGGGGATTCGGTGGCTCTGTTCTGCTGTGGGGGGCATTTAACATGGAGTCCACTTGTCCCTTTAGAAGGAAGGGTCACTGTAAATAATTAATACAAGGTTGTGGTAAGTGATCACCGTTATCCTGTGATGAAGCGCTTCTATTGTTACAGGTGTTTCTCTTCCATTGTGATAATACAGTCGTGACTCGATAATCCGACCCTTAACAATCCTAAACCTGCTATCCAACAGGTTTTTAGGAAAAACCAACAGAACCCATAAAAACAGCCTCAACATAGCGATAGCCTTGGATTCTGACTCCGACATGAAATTTTATGTCACACATAAGATAACGGCGTATTATCTGACTGAACAGATTGGCTACTTTCACACTGCAGGACTTCAGATTTTTTTTGTGAAATTCGATTTTTTTTCGAGTTCGTTCACATTTCCAATTTAATACGACTTGTATGTGATCTGCTGTGTGAACTTCATACGACCCAAAAGTGTCCCGCATGCGCTGAAGAGGACACGACGACGTCACACGCAGCGAGCGTGCTCAGTGTTTATGGAAGTAAACATGGATGTAACGGTGGAGCGTATTCTGGACACTTCCACCCCGTTAGAGCGCTGCCCCGGGGTGGAAATGTCCCCTGATCACGCCGAATATTCGGATATTCATCATTAACTGGGCCTGAGCATCCAGAGAGCAGAAAGTTCTATTGGGACCAGCCCTACTAGTTATTATAACAACTATGAACAATAATTAACAACTAATGAGCCTTCCAGCATCAAGCCCTCCTTGTATCTGGACCTCCGTCTTGACAATCCGACAGCCTTGCTTCTAAAAGAAGGTTTTACGTTTAGTGTCGGATTATCGAGTCACGACTGCACCTCTATTCATAGCTGAGCCTGAGTGGTCAATGAACGGGTTTAAGAACATTAGAGAGATGTGACCCACACGCTATGAGCTTCACAGTCACCAGATCTCAACCCAGTTGAAGCCCAATAGGACATTTTGGACCGACATGTTAGACAACCCTCTC